GCTATTATTTGCAAAACATTAAAATTGAGTCTGCTGTGTGAATTCTGGAGAGGGGAGGGGGGTCACACTGATCAAAAAAAATATTTTTAAATAGCCAAAGCAAAATTTGTTGGTACTACACATATACAAAACATATTAAATATGAAGAAGGAATCACTCTTATGCCCGATCATAACTCATGAACCCCTTGACTTATTTTCCTTAAATTTTGTAAAGGTTAGAACCACCAGAGTGTTAAATTACCGGTTGGCTTAAAATTCTAAATTGAGATGGTTGACTTTTATTGTTTAGTTTGTTTAGTTAAAAAATAAAGGCTTTATCAATCGATATTCTTCAAATTGAGGTAAAGATATAAAAAATATTTTATAATCTAGTTCCTGAAGAATTCGGCTGACATTGTTTACATTTAGTTCAAAATCTCCCAAACTCTTCTTTACAGCCAACATTCGTCTAAACATTAGATTATCAGGGTTAAATATACAGAGTCTAAAAATACGCTCTTTGGTTAGAATATAAATTTACATAACATTTCCGATCGATTTTAACCCTGCTAAAACGGAGGGGTCTGAATCTATGTATATTGAATAGCATGAGAGAGGGGGAAAGCTGAGTAAAGGTGCTTAATGAAAAAAATAACCTTAAATTTTAATGTGTAATGGACTAATGATTTAATAAAAACTAAGGGGCGGGGGGGGCGGAGGGTGCACAACTAACAGCCTTTCTGGGGTTAAAAGAGATATAGTACTGAAATTAAATAAGTAACCTATATGACAGTTTGAAGTCAGCCTTTTTCCACATTTTGAAATTACTCCACAATTAATATTTGAAATGATCATTACAAGGACAAGAAAAAATATGATGACCCGAAAACTAGACCTAAGATGACCCTTTTACAGTGTACCTAAGGGAAGAGGATTTAGGGTCTGCTGCTATTTGCTGGAGAAGTAGGTCAACTGCAGGTTTCAGTATTCGTATATACCCTTCAAACTAAATAAAGGTTTCAGTATCCGCATATATCCTTTTAAATAAATAAAGGTTTCAGTATCCGTATTATTATTATTATTATTATTAACAATCAACCTACAGACAAAGTACAACGACCTGTAGGCTGAAATACAATGAAATACATCCTCCAAACTAAACATAGGTTTCAGTATCCGTATATATCCTTCAAGCTAAACACAGGTTTCAGTATCCGTATATATCCTTCAAACTAAACACAGGTTNCGTATACATCCTTTAGACTAAACAAAAACATTTTTTTGGTATTAATATTCATTTTAAAAAATAAAGATACAAAAAAGACATTTGAAATTCCTAATTCATATTTGTTTTCATAAGATTTTTTTACATCTATTTTTCACTTGTGAAATATCTTAAACATTTTATTACTTTCCACCCTAAAATTCATCTTAGGAGAGGACAAAAATTAAGAAAGAAAACTGAAATGAAATATTCATGAATTTATGTTTCATGTTTTTTTTTTGTTTTTTTTAAGGAAAAAAAAACTTTTGTACCTTTGCAACTGTAACAGCCAGGGCACTTTCTAGAACTTTATGCCCAAACTCTACATTTTCAGAACTAATAAGGTTAATATTTGATCCAATCTATATTTTATATTCCCCGAGATTTTCAGGTTAAATAAAATTTACTATTTTAAAATTAATAATTTTTCTAAATAGTCACTTTTCTCCCAAAATTGCTTAGTTTTTGTTAAATTGTTTTCTCTAATAAAAAAAGGCTAGTAATAAAACACATAAAAGTGGAATAAGAAGACGACATTAAAACAAATTATGTGTGTGATGACGGTATAAAAAGCAATATAGTAAAATGGGTCTGTGTACATTGTACTGTAGTATTCAGTCGAATATTTTTATTTATTCTATAATAAAACATTATTCAAATCAAAAATAAACCTTGTTTGGTAGATTCTAAGAACTGAGTATAGGTCAGGGGTTTTCTTAGCTCCACCAGCTAAACTAAACAATAATCAAAATAATCAAAATAATCAAAATAATCAAAATAATCAAAATAATCAAAATAATCAAAATAATCAAAATAATCAAAATAATCATAATAATCATAATAATCATAATAATCATAATAATCATAATAATCATAATAATCATAATAATCATAACAATTATATTAATCATAATAATCAATCATAATTATCATAATAGTCATAATAATCATAATAAGCATATTTATCATAATAATCATAATTGTCATAATAATTACAATAATCAGAATTATCAGAATAATCAGAATAATCATAATAATCAGAATAATCAGAATAATCAGAATAATCAGAATAATCAAATAATCATAATAATCATAATAAAATATTCTGACATTTATGAAGAAGTTTGTTTTTCTCTCTTGGGATTGAACAAAAAGTAGAGGATTTGCAAGGTCGCAAAGTCGTACCCGTTTCTAATGTCTAGATTGAAGTAGATTACCTATTTGTTATATGTTGACAGAATTGATGATGAAGAATTGAATTGTTCTGAAGAAGTATACAGCTGTCTTGCCAGCAGATTAATCTGTTAAAACAAATTTAAAATTAAAATAAAAACTGGAAATAAAATAACAATACAGTGTGAACCATCAAACTTTTTTAATTATGCAATTTTAGTAATTTTTTACTGATTTATTTCTAAAATGCTTTAAAGTTGATACAACTTTTGTATCGTGAATCTAGGAATCAAGCATTGAAGTCCACCTTTTAACTTCTCTTCAAAATTTAAAGAATTAAAAAAAGATCAAAGAAAACATTCATCACACTGTTTTCTGAGTAACAATGAAAAAAAATATTCTTTGAATAAAATTGTGAAATTATTTAGTTTTTTTGAGACTTTAGTTTTTATAGAAAAAAAGATCATATTTAAGATTTCACAAAAATTCATCTTTTTTGTTTATTTTAAATAGTTTTTCCTGATACTCTCTATCTCTAGTATATAACATGCAGCCTGGGGTCTTGGTAGAATAGCACATAGCTTACTGCTCTCAACTAAAATTATTAATCTATAAATATTCATTAGATCTGTATAATTCTAACTAACAGACACAACACAATCAGAAAAACGAGAATTAAATATGTTTTGAAAAAATGTATTCTTACCTTTAGAAAGTAATCTGAGGTCCCTGTTATAAAAAATAAGAATATTATGTAAAATACTTGATTGATTAAAAAAAAATTTCTATAAATTCCATGCATACTATGCGTAAATGTTAAAAATATTCTTGTCCCTGAGATGAAATTTACGGTTTCCTTTCTCTAAAATTTCTTCAATCGAAATATTTTGAAGTTTGGATTCTCCATTGCTTGATATTTGCAGTACAGGAATCCTCTGTACATTAGTGTTCTGTTTATTTATCCAGCACATGTACCGCTGTACAGTCAACTGTACAGGTCGGACACTATTAATATGTACAGTTCCAGGTTTAAAACAGGCAATCAATGTCCTGGATTTCATCATCTGAAAATAAGAAAATTATTTATAACTGTTTCTGATATTTATTGCACTTTCTCTGTATAATGCTCTCAGAGATAGCAACTTTTATGTGGTTCATATTGAACGCTTAATCTTGATAACCAATGTGGAAACTTTTAAATTTGAGGATCAATACTTGATCCCTTAAGTTATATCCCAGAGAATTGAGAAGGGTTATGACCACTGACCAGTGACCAGTGACCAACACGAGATCTCGAACAGAAATTAAATTAATCTGTCGTCTGCATTAGGAAGAGATCAATGCTTGATCACAAAATTTCTATCACAAAAGTTCTAACATCTGAAGACATTTTAATATAGAAAGTGGTGTTTGAGGAGTTTACGGTTGTACTAATTTAAATTCAATAAAATAACTTTGACGTAGAAGCGTCCGATTGAAATTACAATAACAACGTCAAAATTGGTAACTTTTCGTTGAAGAAACATGATTATCTATGTGCATCTATAGGCAAGATTGTTAAATGTAAATAAATAGTGACATTTCAGAATAAGGAAAGTTATCTAGCTAGCTCTCAAAATTTCTTGTTTTGATTTTAATAAATCAGCTGTTTGCAGCTTTCTCAATTCTGATATTGCCAGTCCTTGAGTTGCGTTCTCAAACACCATTAATTAATTAAATAAGATTACATCCAAGCAGAAAACGATAGTACTTCTTTCGGTCAATGTGAACGCAATTCCCCCCTTTATGAGCCCGGCCCTGTCTCCAATAAGAGTTTTTAGGTGTTATTCACTGCAAATTCCCGTTTCCAGAGTCAGAGGTTACTCTGTACACTGCGCACATTTGTACTCAAACTCAGTACACTTTTACTCATACTGTAAACATTTCCCGCTAATTCAATCTCAGACTCTCAGTATTACTATTCTTCATGAAATTTAGAAGCTAATATCAGATTCGTTAAACATTCTCTGGCACATTGAAGATTTGTTTCGTAAACGTAAACAAATCAATTTAGCTGCAATATCCCAGGCTAGTTAGACGAGAATGAAATCATTGCTAGAATTGATCAAACTATTCGAATATTAATCAAATGACAATGTGTCGCTGATCATTCACACTTATAGAATGATTTCCTGATCTAATTTCAAACATGATGTGACACGATTTTTAAGATAATTGAGACATAATGACAGAGGACTGTTTGAATAAAGTTCCTGATGTCGAGATTGATTCAGGTTAAAAAAATTTAATAAATCATAGATAGTCCTCACCCCATAATCATAATAATCATAATAATCATAATAATCATAATAATCATAATAATCATAATAATCATAATAATCATAATAATCATAATAATCATAATAATCATAATAATCATAATAATCATAATAATCATAATAATCATAATAATCATAATAATCATAATAATCATAATAATCATAATAATCATAATAATCATAATNAGGAAGGGAGGTGGGTGGGTGCGGGGGGGGGTCCAAATATCGTAATGTAGGAAATTACCTTAATTATAACTTTGATATATTAATTTATGTCCCTATTCGTTTATTGCTTTATTTCAGGAGTATTCAAATATGTGTACATAAGAGTCTACGCGGATGCTGGTGGGGATGAGAGGTAGAAGAAGAGGATTTATATTGTGTATTATTGAGTTATTATCAGGATGATTTTGTTGACTTGAGAATTACTAACTTTTCTTTCTGGTTTATTTTTCTTAGTTTTGCATGTTTAATAGATTAATAGAAGTTCTATTTCTTGTCAGAAAAGTTTATTAAAGAGGGCTTGGGGGAAGTAGTATGATATACAAGGGAGATGGATTCGACTCGGCCCGCCCTACCATATCATTATTCATGCTTTGCAGACGGTACTCCATTATAATAAGAAATATTTGTCTGATGTACAATTACCGCGTACATGTATTCAGAATAGGTTATTGTATACGTTAAACAGGGGCAAAAATAGGCTGACTAACGCAAACAAATTAATTTTTTCGGATGCAAAAATATTAGCAATACAAGTGTTTTTTTTTATATTTAAAAAAATTGGATTTATTTAATATGGTAAAGTAAAACACCACGACGACCTTTTAAAAACTCTTTGGATTACCCAGCACCCAGTCTGCAAAGCTCCTCTGGGGGCGTGAGGGGACGGCTCAGCTACATTTTGTCTAGTCACAATTTGCCTAGTCACATTTTGCCTAGTCACATTTTGCCTAGTCACAAATTGCCTAATAACATTTGCCTAGGGTAACATTTTGCCTAGAGTAACAAAAGAGAGAATTTTTCAAAGAAATTTTCATCAATCCAAGATTTTTTTTCAATATTCTGAGAATTTTTTTTAAAAATCCGCAAGTTTTTTGGCAAAAAATTTTTGAAAATCATTCAGAGCTGGGAACTTTTGAATGGTGGATATCGGGATTAATGCTTGATCCACTCTTTTTCTAAATCTCGAGATTAAAAAATGCTTGTTCGCCTCTTGTTTTTAATCTCCAGAATAATCAACTGATCGGGATTAAGGATATCACATTCTAAAGTTTTCAGCTCAGTTTCCTTTAACCCGTTCAGAAGGAGAGACACATTGAAAATGGCTCCCATGATAACTGCAGGGCTTACCAGGCGGGGTAAGCCTAACTACAGAGATAAGAATAACTTCTATTATGTTTTCAATGGGGAGAGGGCAGAGACCAAGAATTGGCGAGATCATGCACTGCAACCATAACAACGAGGATATCTACTGGAAACCTGGTAGGGGATGTACTCCCAACTCATGGCCATACCAACAAGCTGCTGAAGACTAAAGCTAAGACCACAGAAAAGGCTGTGATTGAGAAATATGCCAATGTTCAAGGAGCCCTGCCTTCCAACGTGCTTCAGTAGATCAGCTAATCTATGCTGAACTCTGACTTCCCAGGCCCGATAATCAGTGCCTCTTCAAAGTCAGCTATCAAGATGAAGCTCTGCAGACAGAAGCAGATAAACAACTCAGGCCTGAGCTACCAAAGTCCTTTGAGGAGTACATGAACATTGAACTTCCCACTAAGTTTACTCAGGCAGCCGATGGGGGTGAGTTCATGTTTCACAAAGATTGGGTTGACAATGAGAGGACGCAGCCTTTAGTGATGTTCATGAGCAGATGGTCTGCCGACATTCTGAAAACACACAGTGTGTGGTTGTTTGATGGAACTTTTAAGTCTGCTCCTCCCCCATTCAGCCAGGTAAAATATCTATGTGAAATAATATACATTTCAAACTGAATTTTAAAAAAATTGTTTTAATTAACTGAATTAAATATGTATAATCTTTTATTCAGGTCTACATTGGGATGGCAGCATCTGAGGTTGGTGGCCAGGGTATACCAAGTTTCTATTGCCTTCTACCAAACAAAAAGGAAGACAACATACCTACAGCCGTTCAGCAAGATTAAGGAGAGGGTGGGAGCACCTAACAGGCTAACTACAATTATTACTGACTTTGAACTGGCTGTGTTCAAGGCATGTGATATTGTCTTTCCAGATGTTCAGCACAAGGGTTGTAGATTTCATTATAATGCAGCTGTCTGGAAAAACCTGGGCACTAACAAGCTTCAAAGTCTATTTTACCAGAATCCACGTTTACAAGAGCTTATCTATAGCCTGTACAGCCTTTGCTATGTACCTTCAGACCGGGTTAATGAGTACTACCATGAGGTTATAACAAAACTGGTAGATGATGGTAAAGAGAAAGATGAAGAATGGGAAGACTATCAAGAGGAGATTAATGCCTTTGCTTCCTATTACAGGACGACATGGATTAAAAAGAGAGGAGGCAGAGGTGCACTTTTTAAGCCTGGAACCAGTACGCCACTGTCCTTGAGGGGGGACTTGAAACCAACAACATGCTGGAGTCATTTAATAGAACCTGGAATAGTTTGTCTGGCTACAGCCCGAATGTATTTGCTATCCAAGAGCTATTTGTTAAACAGGATGCTGAGGCTAGGAGGGCTTATCTATCGAATGCAGTCGGCCTGGACATGGCGACAAATTCAGGTCAAAAGAAGAGATCAAAGGACTCCAGACAGAGGGTGAAATTTGTTGTAGAAGCTTTCCATACCATGCCAAAAGCTGATTATATCCAAACCCTTGCACATGACCAGCAGAAGATAAATAATGATAAATAAAGATCACCTGTATGTATTCCTATGTAAAATGTATTTAATATATATATCTGAGACATAACCATATTTTATCTTTTGTAGAGTGACAGGAATGTTAAAATTGCTGTACAGAATACAATTCAATTAATTAATTTTAATTCATTAAAATTTATCTGGTTAAGCTTTAAAAAAATGTTTAAATTTTGACAAAATTTGTTTTTTATAAAAAATAGCAATAGGCAAAAAACATGCTCTTGCGTTACCTAGGCAAAATGTTACCCTAGGCAAAATGTTACTAGGCAAACTTGAACTAGGCAAACTGTTACCTAGGCAAAATGTTACCTAGGCAAAAGTGAACTAGGCAAAAGTGAACTAGGCAAAATGTGACTAGGCAAAATGTAGCTGAGCCGTCCTTGATCCCAAAAACTTGCGGACCATTCCTTCTGGTGAAATTTTACATATGATTTTACGCTTTTATGTATAAATTATTATTAAATTAATTCTTAATTTTTCTTTTCTTTTAACATCGTAAGTTTTTCAGACTTGAGAAGGATATTGTGCGTGGATATACCTTTGCTGAATACCATGCAGATATTTACGACAGGGATGTATTGGATAAAACTTGAAATTTTGTAAATTTTACAAGGATAGAAGTATATGTAGGATTATTCCGAACTATATTTGATAGTTTTCCAAAAACTGTAATATAAAAATTAATTACTTGTTTGAAATTTTTCAAAACACAGTTGTTATATCAAGAACAGGTTCAAAGAATTACTAAAAAATTTGCATTTTAGATTTCGTTGAGATTAGAATATGACTTAAATAATTTTATTTTTTTTTACAAAAGATTTTTTTTCGAATATTCTGCTGGGTAGAATTGACGAGGAAGTCCAAAAGCTTGGTTTGGATTGTGAATGCATGGGGGGAGGAAGGTAGGTCCCATTTTCTTCTATTAAAATCATTACCGTTTGTACTCAAGGTTTTCCAATATCTGAATTTTTTATATGAAAAGATTATTTTAATACGGTCGACCAAACTGAATTTTTGTCACTGCAATCCACATAATTTTTTTATGAATATCTAATTCTCATTCAAGCATATTACAATTTTTTAAATTGGTTAAAAAACTTTTACTTCTAGGCCAAAAATATACCCAAAATCCAGGACATTGAAAAAGTTATAAAATATTTTATAACGGATTTTTTATTTAAAAGGATAGAGCATAGCCCTGAAAGGAAATATATAAAGGTGTATGGATATTCTATGGGATACGGAAAGGCAAATCATGAAAGGTAAACACTAAACACTAAACAGGTTTGAATTCATTCTTAAAAGGTCTATCGACTTAATTTCAAGAGTTGCATTTCCTGATTCAAAATGGTACCCCCTTAGGCCTTGGAAAAATTTAAGATAAATGAGATATTAAATGTTTTTGAAATAAATTTATTTTCAATTGCAGTTTTCTGTCATAGTGACTTGCGGAGCGGATGTTTGCGGTTAAGAAACGAAGAAAATAAAAAAAATTTATTTCTTTAATAATAAAAAAACGACTAACGACTCCATTGCTAATCTGAAAGAAGTTAATTTGTACCGTTGTAAATCGGGAATTTCTTTGAATTGGTCGTCACTTGGTATAACTTTGAACATGGAAATTTTCAATTTCATCTTTTTTTTGTAACAAAATAATGAACTTGATTAAAGTTATGAAATATTTATTATGGATTAAAAAAAGTATAGCTTTTTATTTGAGTATGGGGCCTCTTGCAGATTTCACTTCCTTATGATTTCTTATAATACATTGATTGGCCTAAGTCCAAAGGAACAAAGGCGTGTGATGGATTTGATCTGATGCCGCACGCTCTTTCCTGTTTTTTTTCCAGAGGTGTTTATTTTTAAGACATGATTTTTTTATGTAAAGAATTACATATTGGACATCAAAAGACAGTTTTTTTCACTCTTTTGATAATTCTTACTTAAAAATTTGTTTATTTTCTCTAATTCAGCAAATTAAACCCCCTCCAAAGCTCCGCGTAAACATACAAAACGTCTGGGGAAAAAATTATTTTTTGATAAAGTATTCACATTTGTTTTTTCTTTTAGGAGTATTGAGATCTTGAAGAAGAAATATCCTGATTACAACATGGAATGGTCAGATGAAGGATATTAACAGTTTTAATTAACAAGAGAAATAAAAATGAATATCCCTGAGATTGTTAAAATTATTTCAGAGGAAAATGGAAACCATGTTAAAGAGTTTAGGAGAGAGGCTCAGTCTATCCGAGAAAATAATCAAAGTATGCTATCAACGAAACGGTTAAAGGGACTGAATACGTAATTTTAAGTGACTCTTTATTTATAAAGTAGCATGTGCGATTCACAACGATATCCTCTAAACCTTTATCTGATTAAAGAAGACCAAAAATCCATGTTTTTCTAACTTTTAATAGACTATTTTCCATGGTGAGTTCTCGACAAATGTGATCTGCGGATTTATCTAACAGAAATAAAGATGATTAATTTCAGAATTTTACACTTTTCCTGTTAGAGAAACTACGAACACTTCCCATTTGTCGTTTGGTTGAAAGTTTCCCGTTGTGGATCGAACACACCACATTTTAAACAAAGTGTAACTTAAAATTACGTAGGAAATTCTTAAACCTAAATATTCCCTGTGCGAGATCTAGTACGGGTTGAGAGGAGTGAGTTTTGTCTGGTCAGAATTCAGAATTATACTTTTACTAGCAAGGGGAAATGCTTTTGTCCCTTGTGTGTTTGGCCTTCACGATCGGTGGGTACGCTAAAGTGGCAACTTGGCTCAAATTTGGTCGTGTGCTGAGATTTTTACCGACTAAAGCAAAACCTGACTGGACATAAAAACGGGTTTCTTAATACTTAATCAGAGTTTGTATACTTATCATTAAGACATTTAAAAACATTTGTAGAGATCGGGCTGAAAACCCCGGATGTGGGTAAGACTTTAAACTCAAACCTACATTTAGGAGCCTTAAGCCATCTCTGCTAATATGATTTGATTTGATTCGATTTTCAATTCATAACCAGCATTAATGCATTCAATCATGTCAATTATCAAGGCCAAAAAAGTTTAAAAGTCATAAGTTAATTGTTAATTATGATAAACACCTGAAATTAGATTTTCTAGAGAAAACCCAAAGGGAAAATAAATGATTCTGAAAAAAAAAATCATAAAATAATTATCAGTGAAGACTTCTCACTGAAGAGTCGAGAGGGGCAATTGAAAATTCTTCAAAATATCTTACGCTGTCTAATGTATTAGGAAGCTGCTGCCCTGCATCGACGATTGGAGGGGAAGCAAGCATCGTTAGGTTTTTTAATTAATTTTTATACCCCCTGACCCAATATAGAAATCTTTAAATTTACCGGATTTCTTGTTCAATTATTCCCGCCTATTTTAAATTAAACTATACATTTTTGCTTTCTTTCAGTAATATTTATATTTTATCTAGAATTTTCTTTCTTATTGGATTTAAATAAATAAATTTTTGGAGAAAAAGTTTAAAAAATAATAGATAAAATTGCCTTTTGATCTCCAATTTGTCATTCCCCCCGCCCCCCCCCCCCCCCTAAATCATCACAAATTATTTTCCCTCTCCCCAGGGGAAATGGTGCAATTCTGAAAAATGTACACCCCTGTATGAGAGGGGGGGGGGGTTGTATTGAACATTTGTTGAATAAATGTAAATGTATTCAGGATTGAGTGTGAGTGTTGAGAGTGGAGTATGTTTACAGTTAGCTGCTGAAAACCAGGGGAAAACAGTTGATCTCAAAACTATCTCAAAATGCGCCGGATCAAAGGTTTCTGATCTTATTTTAAAGGGACTGTCGTTTTAATTTCAAGTGGCATTTCATTTAAAACCCTTTAAACCTTTGACCTGGAAGATAGTTTGAAAAGTGTTTGATTCAAATAATTTCTTCCATTGTTTCTGATGCAAATGTCCGAGTCTGTAAGTCTATTTATCTAAAAACCACATTTGAAAATAATCAATTTTCAAAGATATATATATTCTAGTTACATTATTTTAAGGTAAAGGGTACCGTATTGAATCAGACATGTCACTGTATTAATGGAAACACATTTTACTAAAAACTATGAATTTTAAATAAAATTGGTATCTTTGGAAAATCTGTTTACCTAAACCATGTTTTTGTTGGTATTTGAGAGTTTTAAAAAATTTCGAGCAAAGCCTTTCATTTGTAGATCATTAATTTCTGTGAGATAATAATATGCATTTTAATATGAATCCCCCCCCCTCTCCCCTCATATAAGATAGAAACTATGTAGATATTCTATGTTTTGTTTTAGATCACATAGATACATTTTTAAAGAATCATGATGAAATCTTAAATATATTTTGGTTTCCAAGTTTTTGTTCTGTTTCAGAGTAAAGCCCAGTATTTGGACAGCTTGCAGAATATCCGAACTATTCTTGGTTTAGGTAACTCCCTCACTCTCCAGGAGCTAGTTATTCAGATCAATGCGATGTCCCTCATCAATCCAGCTAAGGTGTGATTCATTTAGTTATTCATAGAGAGTTGATGATTAATTAATAATTATTGATTATTGATGATAAGTAGTGAGCGGTGATTTGTGTTTGGTGAATGGTGATTGGTGATTAGTTATTGATGATTGGTGATTGGTGATTGGTGATTGATGATTGATGAGTGATTATGATTGATGATTGATGATTGATGATGATTGATGATGATCGATGATTGATGATTTATGATTGATGACTGATGACTGATGACTGATGACTGATGATTGGTGATTGGTGATTGGTGATTGGTGATTGGTGATTGCAATGATTGGTGATGAATTTTTGATGATTAATGTTTGATGGTAAACGATTAATTAATTAACGAATAAAGATTGGAGATGAGTTTTTAGCTTCTGAATTCGATAGTGAAGATTTATTCTTTATCTTTGACATGAATAAATGCTCCAGGAGCTGCTGAATCTGTATGAGAAGCATATAAGAGAGACTTATGGTGAGGATAGAGCTAAATCAGTTGACACCAGTAAGGTAGAGTTAACATGTCTTAAAATACAGTTTTTTTCTAGTTGTGAATTGCACATAGGGGCGTGTAGACTTGTTAGACTGATTGTTAAATGCTTGGAATTTCAGGGGAAATCTAGCCTTTTACTTGGTGTTTTTGAAATTTGAAAGGGAAAAATTAGTTTCTAGGGGAGGTGGCGTTGTCCTTAAAGGTGTATATTTTTAAGAATTAGGGGGGGAGGGTGATGTTTAAAGATTTATGGAACCTAGAAATTGTATATAAAGTTGTATATTTTTAAGAATTAGGGAATGAAGAAATGAAAAATTGGAAATCAAAAGACAAGTTTATCGTCCTTTTTCATACTTTTTACCCAAATATTTATTTATTTTCCCTAATTCACCAATAGCGAAGATGATTTTCACCCCCACCCAAAATTGCTAAGTAGTTGAATAAAGTTATTGTCCAGGAGTTGTACCTGTGCGCTGCTGTTTATGCTGCTGGCAAGCAGGTCAACATAAAGCTGGACACAAACAAACTTGTTATTCTTGGCAAAACAAAGAAGAAAGAAATGACCGGTAGGATCAATAATTGATAATTATTAGAATAATCTCCTTGTCGAGAAATGAATGTTAGTTTAAAAAAATACTGATATATTTTTGAAACATGCCCTTAATAGGTTATAACTAGCTATAACAAATTACAAATCATGAGCAAAATTTCATAATGAATTAAAGAATGAAAACAGTATTTATTTAGTGGTTTTCTAATTATCTATTTATTTGGGATATTTATGTCGACAATTTTTTATCTATTTAGTTTAGGCTTAATATTCTTTGGTCAAGTGATATTCCTATTTCCTGTCTTACTCCATTTCATATCTTATTTATTATTTCTTAGTCCTATCTTCTATCTCCACAAAAATACAAACATTTTTATCTATAATTTCTAGAAATAGACTTATTAGATTCAGAATGGGCCTAGTGGATTGTCTGAAACAAGTTTGAAGAAATTCTTAATTATGATTTAAAAAAAGAATTTTTATTTTAAGATCTTGGATCTGAAATGATAAAACTGGTTCCGGTGAAATCTGTCCGGAAATCTAGCTCCACTTCCTCGGGACCCATCCTAACACCACTTAAGGTACAACTTGGGGAATTTTTTTACTCCCCCCCCCAAACCCTCCCATTTTTTAGTAATGTTTGCAACATTTATTTGGTGAAAATTAATTAACTTTGGTTATAAAACATTTTAAAAATGGAGGACAACTTGCCGATTTAGGTCCAATTTAGGTCCAATTTACCCCTTCCCTCAGCCTTCGAAAATTAATTTCTAAAAAAATTTCTTTTAAGTGTTATATTTGATACTTCTTACCCAAAATTTCAGTCATTTCTCCCAAACAAACCTAACATCTGGGGAAAATGAAAATCTAGGTTTGATGAGAACATCTATTTTAAAATTTATATTTTTTTCTGTAAAATTATATTAATGTTTATGCCAAGGAATCCAACCGGAATGAATCTGGTGTCAAGAGGAAGGTGGGAGAAATGGTAGAAATGGATGATGAAGGATTCCAGGTTTAAAAAACTATTAATTTTATTCCTTTTAGATATTATATTTTATATTTTGTAAAGATCTAAAACCTCCATACTACGTTTTACCTCAATCAAAAACACCTTTAATCTTATGATGATAAAGAATAAAAGTATAATTCACTTTCTAGAATTTGTCTTTAAATAATAGTTACCAAATATCAAAGACTGTCTTTAAAGGGACTTTACGAGTAAGTTCAAGTGACTCTCCGTGCAAAGATGGCAAGGCCCGATTCACAACTGTGCCCTTGAAATCTTTCTCTAATCAACAATGTTAATTCTTATATGTGTTTTCCTCCAGTAGAAATGCGCAAATCTTTTCTGATAAGAAACCACAATTGAAAATTATTAGTTTTTAAAATTACTAGGCTTTTAAAGCGCATTTCAATAGTTAACATTTTCTCTTTGTGTGCATTGTGATTTTCAAAAATTTTCAAAAATCGAATTTTGAATTAGAGTCAAATTTTTGAAAATTCGATCTTCCATAAACCTTATCTGGGGTCACGGGAGGCCCCACAACAACTTTGTTTCCGATCGGTTCAGCCGTTTTGACGTTTATTGAATACAAACAAACAAACAAACACCCAGACAGACAAGCAAAGTATATATAGATGAAATTCATGATATCTAAATCATTTTGATTAGACAAAGCCTTTAAGGGTACGGCTGAAAATCTGACATTTCCATCTTTGCATGAAGTTTCTTTTGAAATTACGCTTACAGTCCCTTTAACTGTAATGTTTAGTGGTTCACCCTGTATTCTAGGAGTGGAAGAAGGATGTGTTGAGAAAAGCAGTTGCTGCTGGTTTCAATAAATATAGAAAATATTTATAGTTTTATTTTAGGACAAATCTTTCCTTTAAAGACATCCATTTTTAGCCAATAAATAATTAAGTTATGGATTTAATTTAATGTTTTGAAACACAAACAAAACTTTGTTTTTAAGACAAAATATATGTATTTTTATATTTTCCTTTATGTGAAAATCTAAACCATGGTATGTTAGTCCAGATTAACAATTTAATTCACTTACTGTTGAATGTTGAATTTAGAACCATGATTAATTATAACTACTTGATATTTTCTTGAAGATGATCCAACGTATTTACTAATATATCCAAGAATTTTCATCATTGAAAATTGAGAAAAAGAAAAGTATTAAAATTATTTCTTATCTTATTTTTTTTTCTCAAATAACAAGGAATTTGATTTGGTCAAGTCCTGGGACTAAAACACTTCTTATCAAGTTTGTTAATTAAACTGTTATGGACATTAAGGTTGATAATGATAGTATTATAAGTTACTACTTAAACAAAATGGTACGCAGTATCTTATTATATCAGCGGCTCAGCCCCAAATCAATGCTATATTCCCTTTAAATGGTACCCGGCCCGCTTATACCAACCAGAGGAAACTGACAAACAGAGTTTCCAACCTAAAATTGTTTGTTTTTTTATCTTAAAATACAAAAAACGACGACTTTAAAGGAATATATCACTGTCCGTTACATCATTCACATCATTTTCTTAGTTACCTGAAAATTTAAATTTCTTTCTTTCCAAATAAAAAATAGGTCATTCAGAGATTAATTTAATTCAAGGCAGTAAACATATATTGAACCTTGGAATTGTCATATGTTGAGCGTTTCCAGTCGTCTTCACAGTCTCATCCTTTGTGGGTATTCCTGTAGGTTAGGTAAGGTTAAGGGATGTTGGACGTATTAAAAGTTGCATACTCAATTTAAATAAGTTAAAACGCGCTGGGAGTTAGAAAAAAAAAAAAATAATGAAAACAAAAATTAATTGTTACTTGTTTCTAAACGGGTTTTGGACAATTTGCAAGTAAATTATTATAAAACAATAATTATTGAAGTTTCATTTCAGAACTCAAGTCTACCTAGTCTACCCCTCGCAGTGAGTAGACAAGTAGATTTTCACTGATTGAACTCTAGTCATGTTGAGTAGACTAGTAGATAATGTAGAAGAGCGTGGACTAGTTCTACTGAATCTACAAGGGATTTATCTACCGGAAGCAGATATTATCAATTTATTCACAAACAATGCTAAATTAGGGTTAGTAACTTATTTACAAACATTAGCTCAGTCCTAGAGAAAAAATTTTGGACCCCTGCCCCACCCCCTTCCCGTCATCAATAAACGTATGTGGAATTTGTTGTTTTTCGAGGTTAGGTTAGGTTAGGTTATGACACATTATGGACCGAGTGCTGTGGCTAGGCTTGAGTGCTGCTGTCAGGACAGACTAGGGGGGCCGTGCCCCTCGGCTAGGACAGTGTAGGGGCTGGGCGCTGCGGCCAGACCCTACGTAGTTTAATGTCATTCAATAAATTTAACATATTCCTCTTTATGAAGCGAGTTTTCTCGTACAATTTCTCATTTAAAATGTGAGGCAAATCGGTCTAGTCACTCCAGAGTTATGATCAGACACATAGAAACAAACAAACATAGATATTATTTTAGTATATATATATATAATTTTCAAGGTTTTAATAAAAACTCAATCATATCTACTGATATCTTTCCCTCAAAACTGTGGGATTGTTTTTTATATGTTTATTATTTCGGTTGTTAAAATTTTTTGACAAATATTTGTAAATATTAAACATTTTTGATTCAACGTTTAAAATTCTAAAACCTTAATGAGATTTACAGGTTGGGGTGAAATGAATTTAGAGAGGGGGTATTTTCACTATGTAAAATACGCAAGAAATGTAAAATATCCCTTGTCTCCCACCCCTTTATGTATAAAGTTAAAATAAAGAAGCCTTTTTAAAGCTGTATTTATTTCCAGAAACCTACGCTTAGTCTTAACGGACCGGGGAGACCAAACCAAATGTGAAACTGTCATCGATGTTTTTGAAAAAATAAGTTTCGACTCTCCAAACCTAGAAGAAGTTGTTGGAAAGTTTACCAAAACTGATACTGTGGTCATAAAATCTCTGACAGGGTTGTTGCAATTATTCCCTGTGGTATCAGTAGCCCGGTGGTTGCATCATCTGTGTGGTGAGGTGTGTGGTGTGGTTGGTGTGGTGCATAGCGAGGGTGTTGATGAGGAGGTGCTTGATCAGATCTCTAGACTATCAACCTCATTTATATCTATCCAACCTTACAGCGGGGATACTAACCTTTGCTCAATTCTTCATAGGTAATTTTAAAATAGTTTATTATTATTATTAGAGTTTTNTTATGTTACTGCAGGAAACATCATCAAAGTTCAAACTTTAAAATAGTTTATTATTATTATTAGAGTTTTATTATTTTATAACCCCCCCCCCCCCTCTTTAGAAAATTTAATAAATAAAGAATGATTTCTAAGTTTCCAATTTTTTTATACAATTGAATAAAACTGGAGATAATAAATAAGTATATTTAGTCACAAAATAAGTTTAGATTGCAGAGAAATGTTTAAATGAAATTAAAAGTAGCCATTATATTCTGAATTATCAATTTGTAAAATTTTACATGATTTGCTTTTATTATTTAGGAAGCCTGGAGGTAAGATCCAGAGAAGTAAAGAACTTTTCCGGATAAAATCCGGAGTTTTGAAAGTTGAAAAGTTCACTGTAAAGGAAACTAAAGAACCAGAGGAAGATCAAATTGTTAAGGCACTGACAACGTTCAAAATAGGTAGGTTTTGTCTTGCTTAATAGGTGTATAATAAACTAGCCTAAATGAGGGTATTATAGTTACTTTCCCGCCATTTAACCCGAGCTTGTTCGTAAATTACGATTTAAGCTATTTTTTCCCTTTAAAAGTTGACTTACTATCTCAAAACTAGACTAAGAACATTACTGTGATTCCCAACCAAAATTTGAGGCAAATCGGCCCAAGGTTCTTGAGTTACGATCATAAAAACAAACAAACAAATAGAGTTTACTACTTTATATATAAATATTGACTGCAGAGATATTTTTTAGTTTAGTTTTTTAGCGTATATCGTAAAAAATATGTACTACAGGAACCAGTTCAATTGAGGAAAAAACAAAACAAGAACTGGTTCTTCCCTTCTTCACCGCGGATCAAAAGAAAGGAGCAGAAGGTAAATATGAAAATTTTGTAAAGAAATAATTCATACAAAATTTTTATTCTTGGTGAAAACTTTAATTTTTCTCCATCATTNCATCAAAAGGCAACTTTTTTCATTCTTATTGATACTTTTAACCCAAAAATTTATTGTTTTTTACAAATTAAACGAATAAAATCCTTTAAAAAAATTTACGTGCAAGCATATTTAATTTCTGGAGTAACCAAGAAATTTCCAAGGGGAGACAGAAAAATACTTTTTCAAAAAAATATATACCCCTGATGTTTCCTCCAGACCACCCTTGGGTTTCCTAAAAATATGATAACCAATTTGGTCAAGACGTTTGGCCAGCTATGGCTATTGGCTATCATATTTACACATGAGCGAAGAGTTTTATTTTACAGAATTTGTCGGGACAAGGAAATTTTATAAAGTTACAAATATTTTTTTTCTCTTTTTTTCTAGGTGAAGTTCGGATTCCTGGAGTAAAAAATAAGATCTACTACGAACCTGACTCCGGAGATGATTGGGACGATGAGGATCCTGATGAGGATCTAGATCTTTAGATCTCTTGATCTCTTGATTTTTCTCGCTGAGAGATTACTAGACCTATCCCTAGATCTATATGTCCACACCCAAATACTAAAGATTTTGAACAAGTAAAAAACATAACGTTATCAAAATCAGTGATATTAAAACATCAATGTACATTTTGTGATTATGAATATTACATAACAAATAAATATTGTGATATTATATATTTGTATCAATTTGTCTTCCCGAAATGAGGAGCATAGTCCGGTTAATGAAGCGTTTGAAGATCAAGCACTGGGCCCTGGTTCTACTTGTATTGATATTGACGCTACACTATGGCGGGGTTCTGTTGTTTATGAGGGAGAAAAGCTTTAAGGAATTCCAGTACCCACTAGTTGGAGATGTGTCAAGGTAAAAAATAAAAGATCAACTCAAATTCAGAAGATGATTTAAAACTAAAGAATAAAAAATTGATTATTTTAAATTAAAAAATACAATCATAGTGTTCAACTCGAAGGTTTTGATAAACGAGAGATGTCATATTAAAAAACTTTTTCCAAAATTCTATGGCATTTATTCGAGACCTTGTACTTTGTTTTTATTGAAGAATTGATATCTTCCTATTGTAATTTTTCTTTCTATGCAGCAGAGACAATGAAGAAAATTGTCACTTGTTCTGAAAGGAAAACGACTTTATCTAAATAAAAAGTTTTTAGGGTACTGTTGTAAATNTCCTATTGTAATTTTTCTTTCTATGCAGCAGAGACAATGAAGAAAATTGTCACTTGTTCTGAAAGGAAAACGACTTTATCTAAATAAAAAGTTTTTAGGGTACCGTTGTAAATTGGGCATACACCTCTTTTTAATTTGAGGGTTACTTGATACATCCTGTTAATAATCATGATTATTATATATCTATTATATATATATATATATATTCTGTAGATATGTTGGAGAAATGAAGAGAGGAGAGATCCCGTCTAAGAACCCAGTTTATAATCATGATTATTATATATCTAAACATCCTAAACATAAATGTTTAACAGAAGATGAAAAACAGTATCATTCACTCAGGTAACTTTTGATTTTAATCATAGGCAATAAAGGGATATTTAAGGGTGTTTTATTTTTTTATTTTCTTAAGAATTTATTCCCTCAGCCCCTCTTTGATAATGATTAGTTTTGTTTAAGAAAATTTTGAAAATATTCATTTTGAAGATTTTTTTCGCGGATTTTTTTTTCTAAACAATTAATTAAAACTGCCTGGGACAGAATTTCCGCTGGTTCAACTCATGAATCACCGATTCAAATCCTCAAGAATCTTTGACATCATCGTCATAGGTAAGATACTATATTCAAACCAGGGGTCTAGTGCTTAAGATCCGGATCAGATTTTGGCTTCCTGGATCCGGTTCCGCAAAGATTAGTTTTGTTTAAGAAAATTTTGAAAATATTCATTTTGAAGATTTTATTCGCGGATTTTTTTTCTAAACAATTAATTAAAACTGCCTGGGACAGAATTTCCGCTGGTTCAACTCATGAATCACCGATTCAAATCCTCAAGAATCTTTGACTTCGAATCGGGGATTCAAGATTTATAGGTAGTTCAGCGACCTAGCTCAAATTCATTAAATTATCAAATATTTTTTGACTAAACGAAAAATATGATTATTATAATCCTGGTATTTTCAGGGTTCTCTACCTTGTGAAGTCTGCTGTAGGACACTTTGACCGGCGTGAGGTGATCCGGAAGACCTGGGGTATGGAGAAGAGGTTTGCTGACGTACCAATACGAACAGTTTTTCTTTTAGGTAATTTGTGACTTATGCTTTTTATATCCTTTTTTTTCGTCTCTTCATTGCATGCGTTTGTTCTAATTCTTTGCTAATCCTTTATTTTTTATATTTTTTTAGGGTCAGTGCCCGATGACCTGACTATGCAAGGAAAAGTAGAAAATGAATTCCAACAGTTTAAAGTAGGTTAAATACAAGCTACCATCAATCAATTAAATTAATCAATCAATTTTTATTAGTTTCTACAATTAAGTAGATTCCACAATTTAAAATAGATTCTTCTATTATAAGTAATTCTTCTATTAAATTGTACATTCTACAATTTAAAGTAGATTCTACAAATTCAAGTAGATTCCACAATTTAAAGTAGACTCTTCAACTTAGAGTAGATTCTACATTCTACAATTTAAAGTTGGTTCTACAATTTAAAGTAGATTATTTAAGTTAAAGTGGATTTTTCAATTTAATGTAGATTCTTCAATTAACGTAGATTCTCCAATTTAATTTAGATTCTTCAATTTAGAGAAAGTTTTTCAATTAAAGTTTATTCTACAATGAATGGATTTGAAAAATAAAGTCCTTCTTCTTAATACTGTTGAAAAAAATAAAAAGAAAAGCATAAAAATTGTATTTTTTAAACGAATAATTTTTTAAGGATTTAGTTCAAGGAAGCTTCGAGGATAACTACTACAATAATTCATTAAAGGCAGCCATGGGTCTTCGATGGGCCGTAGATCATTGTTCAAGGTGATTTCATTTCAGTTAATTGGTTTGATTGTTTTGATTAATTTGATTTGGGTTGGGTTGAGTTGATCATCTTCTCGGCTTCCTTCCCATTAAGTGGGTTCTTGCATCATAACTATGTATGCAGCTGCGCAGTGCGCACCCCTGAAAACTAGTATTTACCCCTGTATGTGGTCCCTTTTAAGCTCCTGGAACCTGTTTCTGTTTACCAAGTTGGAAATTAAATTTTTAAAACTGAACTATGCGCAGTTTACAAAACAAGAATATGATGCTTGAAATAATACTCAAATATTATTTAATGATACGAAGGGTGAAAAATATTTCAAAAGATTGTTCTACATAGACATCACCAACATTATGTTAATGATAGGAAATTAATAGTTACAAAAATAGTGGAAAATAATTGCATGTTTATTATGACAGAAGACTTTAAAATGCTCGATAATCTCCATATAAAATCTTACATTAGGAGGAGGGGGGTGCGCATTTTAACACTTCAAAGGGTAAAAAAAAGGAATAATAGATTTTTTGTTTTAATTTGTTTATAGCCTCTGTTTTCAACACTTAACATTGAGAAACAATGTTTTTAAAATTATATAAAAATATGCAACTAAATTTAGATTTGTATTATTTATTTTAATGTTATAAGGTCCCGGTTCTACGTATTTGTGGATGACGACTACTATGTGTCCACCAGGAACCTGCTGAGGTTCCTCAGGAACCCTCTCAACTATCCTGGATACCTAGGTATTTATAATCTGATATATGATTCAATTCTATCAACACTAATTAACGTAAAGTATTGCTGAAAAGTATTCTAATTTTTACACGTATAATTAACTTCAGATTTTTACAAGGGTAAACATTTACAAGAATTGTCTCTCCCAGCCAGGGGGGGGTTAATGTTCTCCAGAGGGGGAGGGGTCGAACCTCAACGGAGAATTTGTTTTTTTCCCTTTTGACATTTGTTTTTTATTTTTCCGAAAATTATTCTAAGAGTGATCTCATTGTTATTGCAGAGGAGGATGTGATATCATTTGACGAGGACACAAATATGTTCCCGAGGAAGGGACGGAAACATCGTGATACTGCTGAGGTTCTCAACAATCCAGATAACGTTGTCCTTGAACATATTCTTGCAGAACCTGGAGACACATTTATAAATAAAACCAAAGTGGTTGGAATTGAACACAAGAACGGAGAATTCTTCAAGGCGGGAGTAGAGAAACAGGAAGGAGGGAAACCGGATGTAGAGAGTGGAACAGAAATGTTTGATGAAGAAGTTGGTCCAGCGAGAAAACTGAATCAACTCATTGATTTTGATTTGCCCGAGGTATTTAAATAATTATATCATTATTACTTGATTGATTAATTGATTGATTGATTAATTGTTTGTTTAATTGATTAATTAATTAATTAATTAATTGATAGATTGATGAATTGATTATCTGATAAATTGATAGATTGGTTGATTGACTTTTTGGTTAAATTATTGATTAATTGGTTGTTTGGGTGGTTGATTGATTGGTTGGTTAATTGATTGATTATTAAGTATTAACTAATTGATTGATTGATTATTAATTGATTAATTGATTGCCCAGGATGTAAAGCTGTTTGCTGGATATGTATTCCCTGATTCTCGCCCTCATCGTCATAGGTAAGATACTATATTCAAACCAGGGGTCTAGTGCTTAAGATCCGGATCAGATTTTGGCTTCCTGGATCCGGTTCCGCAAAGATATGCGGATCCAAGGGGAAAAATATCAACAACAAAAAATGTTAACTCTCAAAACTCATCTGAACTGTCGAAAAAGAGAGATTTTAAATATTTACTGATCTCTGAATGGTTCATCAAGTTTTAGCTTAAAAATAAGCGTTAAAAAGTAGAAAAATAATTTTTAAAATTCTGCTTTGTTAAAAAAATCAGGTAATCTTAAAGAAATATTCATTACCTGGCTCCAGGATCCGGGTCCTTATCAAAATTAAAGGATCCTAAGCACTGCAGCTAAGGTTTCATACAATTTCATCAATACAATCCCAAATATTGACTGATTTATATTAGAGGGAGAAATTATAAACATGTTGTTGTAAACAACTTGCAGTATGATCCGGAATGTGTACTGCAAGAGAGTGTTTATTTTTCTTTATATCACAATTAATCTATTATATTCATTAGTTCATGGACACAAAAATATGCTTGCCAGAGTTCACAATGACACAGAAAGTGTATTTTTATGCCCCTAAATGTACTTTCAATCCTGATCATGGACCCCTGATACATACCCATTGAGGTAGAAATATGGTAATTATTTAGTGATGATTATGATGACAATGATAATGCTGGTGATTATGATGGTAAAGATAATGATGACAGATAATTTTTTCAATGATGTTGATAATGAAGAAGTTTGTGAAGATGCTAATTTTTTACATGATAAAGCTAATACACATTAATTAATTAAAATGATGATGATAAAAATTATGATGTTGATCATGAGGATGAAGATCATGATGAAAATGATGAAAATTATGAAAATTTTAACAATGATAAAGATAATGAGAGACATTATGATGATAAAGATAATGAGTAACATTATGATGATAAAGATAAATTTCATGTTCAGAATATCTAAATGGTTTGTACCTCTGGAAGAATATCCCTACAACCGCTGGCCTGCTTATGTTACTGCAGGAAACATCATCAAAGTTCAAACTCGATGAAAATAAAACCTAATTATGCTTATTTATATTCTACTGGGAACTACTAGGACAGCTCAGTAGCTAGTTTGTATAACAAAATATTTTATTTCTGATCAGGGCATGGGGGGCCGACCCTGTGTAACTATTATTCACTATTATTTACAATAAAAAATATATCCTTTGCTGTCCATATTGGTCATAGTTGTATTGTAAACAAATACATTAATGAGTTTATGAGCTTAAACTTTATAAAGGGTTTAATTTTTATATAACTTTTTCAACCTTTTCAATCACAAATCAGTGATGGTGTGTGTGTGCAGGAGCGTATGTACTGTCCCGGGAAGGATTAGTAGACATGTACTACACTAGTTACTTCACTAAGCTGTTTAGGTAAACAAATCAATAAATTCATTGAAAATTCAAAAAAAAATATATGATTTGGCAAATTTTGTCTTTTGATAATGCAATTCTTTATTGATCATCCATTTTTTAATGATTTTCAATTTTTTATTATACTGATTAAATCCAGGTTTGATGATATCTGGTTGGGCCTGATAGCTCAAAAAGCAAGTATAGAACCTCTTCACAGTTCAGAGTTTTACTTCCACAGAAAGGAAAATTGTTGTTCTTCGTGACACCCCTACCTCGATTCTGGGGCCCCTGCTCTTCCTTAACCGCTTTGGCAGTTTTCTTTACACCTGGAATTTAGTCCATTTTGTTGATAAACAGTGGCGTAATTGTGTTATTTGCAGGGGTGGAGATGATCGTTTTAAAATTGTATATTTGATAAAGCTCCCTCTCGTTCCGAAGTGTACATTTTTTTATTTTATTAAATCTTTGTATTTTGATTAGTTAGGCGAAAACTCGTTAAATTTTACCGTTTGCCTTCTCTTTCCTTTTTTTGTTTCTCTATCTATATATCGACACACCGTGGGATAATGTTATTTTTAGCCGAGAAAGAACAGCTATTTAATTCACAGGTGTACTCCGTCCGCAACTACAAGTATGTTGTGGCCAGCCATGGGTTCTCCGACTCCAGGGAGCTCTTCAGGGTCTGGAACCAGCAGAGAGAGGCCGGAAATGCCTGATTTTTTTAAACATATTTTTTTAATGATTTTTTTCAGATGTCCTGGAATTTCGGCCGCTTTGGTCGGAATTTCCGGCGGCTATGGAAGATTTTTGCGTTCAGCCAGTTGATAAGCCCAGTAGTGGCCTGCATTGCAATTCTCACAGCTTCGGCTTTAGGCTTAGATACAGATGATATTCAGGTTAGGTCTAAGTTATAACTTTTAGCTCATTATGGCTTCTTAAATGGAGCTGTAAGCGTAATTTAAAATTTTTCTTTGCCCGCTTTACAATGGTACCCACCTGAATCTGATCAAAAATGTGGAAGATACCTTGGTTTTCTGACAGAAACGTGTTTAATTCTGATATGATTTCTCCAATACTTCTCATGCTCAAGTCACTTTGGCAGAGAACCCGCAAATAAAAACTAATAGTTTTAAGTAACAAAAAGACGGATATCTAATTCATACTTGTGATGACTAGGCAAAGTTTTGAGGGTGTCGTTAATCCCCTTAAAGGTCATTTAATCATCACTTACTTTAAAGAAAATCAAAATAAGACTTTTATTTCAAGTTCACATAAATAAAATCATTTAAATGGCTTGTTTTTAAAAGTCAAGAAGTCCTAACCATAATATTTAAGTTATGAATTATATTTTACAATCTAATGGTAATTAACTTTTCACCTCACCAAAGTCACCAAATTGAGGTAAAAATAAACTTTAATTCAGATTTTTTATTTCAGAATAAATTTGGAGAAAGTGATGAACATATAGACAATACAGTAGATAATACATTAGAAAAACTTGAACTTATCCATAGTCTGGTAGATACTGGAGGCAGTAAAGATACATGCTGTACACTTCCAACCTTCCGGTCCTGTCCATCCATCCATATACCGCGCAGTCAGCGCTGCGAGCAGGACACTAGGGGACAGACCTGCTCTGATCTTCAACTGGATTGCATCAGATGTAATTGTGATTATTCTTGTCAATATGGGAAACCAAGGTAGTGAATATGGGAAACCAGGACAGGGAATATGGAAAACCAAAGCAGGGAATATGGGAAATCAAGGCAGGAAATACGTAAATCCAAGGCAGGGAATACGTAAATCCAAGGCAGGGAGTATGGGAAACCAAGGCAGGGAATAGGGAAAACCTAGGTGTTGAATGTGGGAAACCAGAGTAGGGAAGATGGGAAGCCAAGGTAGGGAATATGGGAAACCAAGGTAGGGAATATAGAAAACCAAGGTGGTGAATATGGTGATGTGGGATACCGAGTTAGTGAATATGAAAAAAATAATTAAGAATATTGGAAACCAAGGAAGAGAATTTGGGAAACTGATAAAGAAAACGTTAGCCAAGCAACGGATTTAGAAAAGATAAGGATGAACTAAAAGAAACCCAAATAATTGTTATGGTAAAAATTGTACATTATTGTTTCTTTGACAAAATTTTTTTAAATTTTGATTAGTTCTTAACATTCAAGAAAGTTTTCATGTATGTAGACTATGTAGATGTAAAATATGCTTTATTTACTTATATGTTCAGTTGGGCCAACTGTACTGTACTGGAAGAGACGGATTGTACAGGAGATAGAAACTTTCTTCGTGAGTTTACATGTTCATATTGTTACCTAGGGTAGGTTCAACTGTTAATCATCAAAATTTAATAAAAATGATAAAAGACACTCGCCCGTAGAATTCAGTTTATTTGTTTTAATGGCAGATCTTGTAAATGAAGCAGGACGTTGAAATTATGTGTGTGCTTTTTATGTTATCTATACTTAGCCACAGCGTAACACTCAAAGGAAGTTTTAAAATGATAAAAAATGTTACTGGGGTAATACAGGACGGATATTTTTACTCAGAATAACTGTATCTGCATAGGAGTTCATTTATTGCTGATTGTTGGATGATTTTTAAATTTTACTTTACACCCAAAACTTATTTTTTTTAAATCATCTTTTTTAAGAGAAAATCCGTCCTGTAGCACAAACCTTGCAACTTCATGTAGGAGCTCATCCCCTGATACCAGCAGGTACTTTTCATAGACTTTCCATCTCTATAATATTCTCAATATTTTTCTCCTTTTTGTTCATTTTAATAATTCAATTTTTCCGCGAAAGTAAATCCTTGTTTTAACTAAGAACTGAAAGAAGTAATAAAATAAAACATTAAATATGTTAAAAAATACTGAAATTTGAATTCAATAAACTGTGTTATAATCATGTGTTTATCATTTTGTCAGTTATATACAGTACACTAAGTATTTTTAGAAAATTATTCCAATTTTCAAAGTTGATGGTTTTTAAAGAATAATATACCCTGAATTTTATATGAAAGAGTATCCTAGGAGTCACTGGTATGTAGCAAACTGTCGAGCTAATAAAAATACACTTTGCCTTGGCTCTCCAAGGTAACTAAACACTAAACAGCATTATTTTTAATTACATAAATTGGAGAATAGACAGATGAATAAATTAATTTCTTGGTTCAAAAGTTTGAGTTCCTCTATTTAATCCAAGTAAAGTAGTTCTATTAACATTGTGTGTATGCGCTGAAAGTTTAATTTCAATACACTTCAAAATGTTGCTTGTTGGGTCTGAAAGACGGTAATGCGGAGGCAGAGGTTCATCTGGATGAACATTATACATCTAATCAACCTAAAAATTCCACATGACATCTTTTGGACACATAAAATCTGACACAAATTGTATCTAAGTTGATAAAAATCTACGAAATATTTCATCTTAGTCAATGGAATCTGCTAAAAATTTTATCTTAATGAAATCTGTTAAAAAGTGAAGTCTAACACCTCTAAAATCTGTATTTGAAACCCTACGTTATTCTCTAGGTTTAGCAAACGACTAGAGTGCAACTGGACAGAAGGATACAGATGGAAGACAGCGCTGGTTTTATCTATTACTCTAGGAGGGTTCGGAGCTGATAGGTAAATATCAGATAGTTGGCCCATCTTTTTCCATTTATTTATTTTTCAAATTTTAAGCCTATCGTACTGTAAATTCGTCAATACTGTTAAGTATTTGTCTTTTTAGCATTTTTTATACTTTTTACATTTTGATATGCTTTATGACTTCATTTTAGTTGGTTGTTAGATTAATTGATCTGTTGATTAACTGATTGTTAGATTGATTAGTTGGTTGGTTAATTAAATGATTAGTTGACTGGTTGATTGATTAGTTGTTTGGTTGATTAATTGATTAGTTGACTGGTTGATTGATTAGTTGGTTGGTTGATTAAATGATTAGTTGACTGGTTGATTGATTAGTTGGTTGGTTGATTGATTTGTTTGCTGGTTGATTGATTAATTGATGAATGAGCTATTGAAAGTTATTTTAAAAAGTTGATTGATTGATTGATTGGTTATTTGATTGATTGGTATTCTTTATCCTAGGTTCTACTTGGGTCACTGGCAAGAGGGTATTGGTAAACTCTTTAGTTTCGGAGGATTGGGAGTGTGGACACTGGTTGATGTAGTTCTTGTTGCAGTAGGATATATTGGACCTGCAGACGGATCCCTTTACATATAAACAGTATTAGATATATAAATTAAGTTAAATTTTCTCACAAGATTTTCCCTTTTCCTTTCTAAACAGAAAACATCCAACAGAAAGAATCAGGATATAATTCTTATCACAACCGTCAATAATTAGTTGTGTAAGAAAAGCTTATAAATCGTGTCGCCGATTTTTACTTCACAGTTTATTCAGAAATTTGATTATTCTAAGTCCATAGTCAAGTCAAGTCTGTCATCGAAACAAACAAATTTTCATCTTAACTCTAGTATTTTTTTATTACTTTTTAATTCACTGCTTTTGTAGAAAAGTTGTTAAAAATTGCATTAATTGATTTTTAAATTAATTATTTAACTAATATTATTCACATCGATCTCTTAATTATTTATTCATGACACTCATTTGGTGATTAAATCATTGTTTTAATCTTGTTTTAATGTGAAATACCAACTAAATTAATATATCAGTTTATTTGAAATATTTCGCCGAAATAAAAAAAATGATAATATCAAATACTTTATTGAATTAATCACCAAATATAAATTTGATTTGTTCAAAAAATTAAAATTTGTAAATTCCTCCATACCTAATATGTTCTTCCTTCTTATTATATTGTATACAAATTGATTTCAGATAAGAATATGATCCCGCTGTAGAAGTGAATTATTGATATTAATGTGATCCACGCAACGCATGTACAGAGAATCAGCATATGTAGACACATAAGCCACATAACATTTTAAACGTGAAGGTAATTCAGCATAGCTGTGTATATTTTTGATTAATTTTAAGCCTTGACTTTAGTATTTTCTAGAATTAAGATTTCGTTAACCTAAATTAGGGAACACACAATTCATGCATAATGTTCATCAAATATATTGAAATAAGATCGAGCAATTTGAAAGGGGTTCTGGGCGTAATTTCAAGCGACCCTCCATAGCAACGTCAGATTCACAACAGTACCATTAACCCCGTTGTCTGATCCATAATGTAAAAGATATTGCCAAAAGTGTTTACTTCATAGATATCCTGCATGTTGAATTTGCGTTAGTCACTTATGTAGACGACTCACGATTGCGAATAATAAGTTTTCAATCAATAAACATTAGTATCTAATTTATACCTGATCAGACAAAGCTTATCACTGATCGTTGTGAATCGGGCAATGCCATCTTTGCATGGAGGATCACTGGAAATTACGCTTTAAAAGAATAAATGAAGAATGTGTAAAATATATATTCTTGAAGCAGGATGAATGAGAACTCCAAGATTGAGGTTCAGATTGAGAACTGCCAGGGCTATGTCTGGTCTGTCCAGGATGTTCTCAGGTTAGACTTTAACGCACATTTAATAATTGAAAAAAAAAACGGATACCTAAACTTTTAAAGTGAAGTCCAACTCTTAATTCCCCATTCTTATGTTGCCCTGCGCTGAGTCAAAATTATTCAAAAAGCAAGCATTGTGATTTAAGATCCTGTTAGAGTTAAAGAAATCACCAGACCAAGTGCTACACGTTGACATAAGTCTTACCAATTCGGTTCAGCTGGCGACCTTAGGACAGAACTTGACGGAACAGAATAATGTTGGTTGGTTGGTTGGTTGGTTGGTTGGTTCGCCCTACCATATGATTATACATGCTTTGCAAACAGGTACTTCATTTGAATTAGAAATATTTGTCTGGTGTACAATTACCGCGTATACAATAACCTATTCTGAATATTTCATGTACAAATGGAGTACCCGTCTGCAAAGCATGTATAATCATATGGTTGGTTGGTTGGTTGGTTGGTTGGTTGGTTGGTTGGTTGTTGATTGTCTCTGTAATAAGGTTGCGTAGAGATCACAGAATCCTGGGAAGCCTGGTTGGATGCGGAGCTAAACATCCCAGGGAGGAACAAGGTTTACCTCTTCTTCTCTCTCCCCAGGAGATTCAAGTTCTCAAGGTTAGGTTTACAACTTTCTATCTTAACCTAACTTTGAATAGTTTAATCACGGAAGGTTGCTCTTTTTCAGAAGGAGGGAAGAGGTTCTATAAGAGCTACAATTTGAGCTTCTAAAATATCTTTTTGTGAGATTCCACTGGTTTCTTTTATAATCTACTAGCCTAAGGGTCCGGCCGTTGCCCGTGGAGAAAAAAAAATTGAAAAAAAATTATATTTTGTTGCCTATATCAATCCCCGGCCACCCGTGAGTGTCTACAAAAAAATTCAGCCCAATCGGTCCAGACGTTTGGCCGGCTAATGCAACATATATATGAATGTCTTATCTTATTATGTATATAATATATAGATGAACAATGCTCAACCGATATTATTAATACTGTTTCTAAAGGAGGAGAACGTGGTGAGGTTGGTTCAACTCCCAGAGCTCCGGGAGCCTCCTACAGCTGAAAGAAAATCTAGTTCCCATGAGTATCTGGAGTCAAGCTACCAGCAGCAGATTCATATTTTCAAGGTATTTGATCTCTCAGTTTTCATCAGTATTAAAATGATCGATAATATCGAGAGAGTCTACACATGTAAAAATCAAGTGTTCACCTCGCTGAAAATACCATGAAATACTACATTAAGTTTGGTTTAAAATAAACACATGGAAATATTTAGAAAGAGAAGGAAAAGAACATTGAGCAGTTCGCGGACAGAATTTTGGCGGGAAAATTAAAGAAAATGGAGAAAATGGAAGGAAAAATTTTAAAGAAGAATCAGGCTGAAGCCGGTCTAAGTCCTGAGTCTAAAGCGTTAAGAATTACTAGGGAAGCAATGTTTAAGTTTAATGCTCAAATAAACGCTTTATGAAAAAATTATGATAAAAACCGGCCTACAAATCGATTAATTTAGGAATTTGAATTAAACTTTAAGAGATTCGGACTTGATTTCCATGCAATGAACAAGTATAATAATTAATAAATAAATTAGTCAAACTTTTATCTGTTATTTGAATACATTAAACAAGCAAACAATTTTCAAAAAATGTAATGGATCTTAATAATACTTTTTGTGTACAATATACTGATTGCACGCTTTTAATCTATTTTTTTGGGGGGAAATTATTGAATTTAATGTTGTATATCATACCCTTCCAAACATTGCTAGTTCCATGCAGGGAAGATGTGATAGCAGAAGAAATAAAAAAGATACAACCTATATCTCGAGACCACCAGGTTAGTTTATTTATCGAGAAAATATAAAACAAACAAAAATATTTTTCCTTGTAAATTAAACATTGTTCAATGAGTTTGTTTAACCTAGTAAATTAGCGCAAGATTTTTCAATCTGTATAGAAATGCTTTCTTTGTCTTAAATGTACCTCTAAAGGTTGGCTTTAATAATTCGGTTCTTGTTTAAAGTAAAAATACGCAGCATTTACATTTCTATGCGCAAGTGAAAAGTACATTAATTCCTGACTTAAATTCAGGTTCTGCAGATCCATCTCCGTGATCCCTGGATCTCAGAACAGGGTAGGGTTAAAACCCGCTGGGTTTATCCTACCGGAGAGCTTAACAAATGTCGTCTTCTCGCATTCAAACGACTTCGAGAGCAAGGACTTTTTGTCGGAGAAGGTGATTGCTACTTTATTAGATATTGTTCTTATAACCAAGCTAGCCTAATATTATAGAAAATTATTTAAATTATGACTAAAATTCCATTTAGTTTTTATTAAATAAACAAAAATATTTTTAAGTATTTCTACGGGTTTAGTTATATTTATTCCAGGATCTAAGTTTGGTGGAGATTTCCTTGTATATCTGGGTGATCCTGTCAGATTCCATGCTAAATATATCCTTATATGTAAAGGTATAACTCAAATACTTGCAGAGGTTTATAACCCCCCCCCCTTTTCCCTCACCTCTTGAAAAAAATATTTTTCATCATTGAGAGTTTTAAAAGTTTTTTTCGTTGAAATTGGGGGTGGGGAACAAATGAGTTTTTAGTTAAAGAGAATCCAAGAGGGGAGGGGGGAGGAGGGGGTGCGGGTGCAGGTTCCTAGTTGATATTCAATTTATCATTTTTTTTCCCAAATCTTCAAAATTCCCGTGTGGGGGTAGGGGGAAAATTTTTCATTGTTTTGACGTGAACACTTCAGTATTTTTATCTTTTTAATCTTCCAGTGATGATATTTTTATTATTTTTATGCAGGTAGTCTTAGTCTTGCTCAATTATGTATTCATGCGGCGGAAATTCTAAAATTCTCCTATAACCCCAACCCCCGTTGAGCTCACTGAAAAAAAAATAATACTTTTTGATGATCAACTTTGCACTTAAACAAAATGTAATGTAGAAAAGAATTGGATAGAAGGTGCCAGGAACCGGCCTCAGGATCTAGTTGCTAAAAGTAGGTGAGATTCTAATTCTATTCTTCTAATTAGACAATAAGCAAACACAATATTACATTACTAAGCTTTCAGGGTGCTCCGTGCTCATCTTCTATTTAAACTTATAATTGTGGCTGTACCTGTGAGCATCTTCTCTTTGTCATTATAAAACAATAACAAAAAAGCGGATTTGATAATATTTCTTCGTGGATTTTCAAAAGTTTACAAATTCAAAATATTTTGGACACCATAAACCTTCCCTTGGGTCATGTGAGTTGCCTCAATAATGTTGGGCCCGATCGGTTCGGCAGACAGACAAGCAAAGTATATAAAGATATAGTTTATTGACAGGGTACAATGAGTTTTAGATAGTCTAGTTGAAATGAACACTAGTCTAGATCATTTATCTACTTTATTTTAAAATTCTGAAAACCACATTTAATTGTTTCAAATCAAACTTAAAATTCGTAATGCTAGATTCAAACGACTAACAATATTTTAATATTTGAAAACAAGGATAAATAAAAAGAGTTATGATTTTATAGTCTGAAAGCCAAGTTCCAAAATGTCTAAAACTAACATCCATTTACCTAGAATTAAACTAACATTAAAATGTTAAGAATAGAAAAATTTGTTCATCCATAAACCTTCCCTGGGGTCACGATAGGTCCCACAAAAAGTTTGGGCCCGATCGGTTCAGCCGTTTTGACGTTATTGGATACAAACAAACAAACAGACAAACAAGCAAAATATAACTATAGATTTAAGGGACTGTAAGCGTAATTTGAAGTGACCCTAAATGTAAAGATGGAAATTGCCTGATTTACAACGTTGAAATCTGATCAGAAATGTGGAAGACAATTTTGGTTTTCTTACACGAAAAGTGTTTAATTCTGATAATTTCTCGAAGTAGACAGTATAAAATAACAGAAATACTAAATATCTAATTCATACTTAATCAGACAAAGCTTTAAGAGTACCCTTGTAAATCTGGCATTGCCATCTTAGCATTGAGTTTCACTTGAAGTTACGCTTACAGTCCCTTTAAACTATTTTTCAAGGTTAGGTAACCAAGTGAGGAAGATAATACTGGTTGCTACTCTGCAAGACGAGGATACTAATGAAACCGAGCAGAGCGAAGAAAATGTGGATCAAGTGAGGAAAACAAGGAAGAGAGAAACTGTTCTTTTTACAAGTATTGTTAGACAAGTTCAAGACTATACCAGGTTTGTTTTAGTGTTTATCCCCCCCCCCCCCCCTCCCTTTTGGGAAACTTGGGAATAGGAAGACGACATGTTGGACTCAAGTTTTGATTTTAAATAGTTAGATGTACATAAATAGTTAGATGTACATAAAACAGCAACTGTGCGGAGTGGACAGACCATTTCACTTTACAATTGTTTTTTTAAGCTACGAGTAAAACTATCTGATTTGTAAAAACATTAAAAAACATAAGATTGTTTAAATGTCATCAACATCAACTACAGTCTAAATATTGGTTAATTATTTTTTTCCTATTCCATAGTTTTCTGGTTCCCACTGTATGGTTTTACACCCCCCCCCCCTCCTGTTTTAAATTTGAGAGTGGGAAAGTGGTGTTAAAAATGAGAGCCAAAAATATCCAAACTTCCATTTTATTTTAATATTTATCCAGAAAAAATGTTTACTTTTTGTTGAGTCTTTATTTTGTAATATCTTTAATGTCACTCTTTATCCTCACTTTACATCGTATTTTTTTTCAGGCGAGATACCGCGGAACATTTTGGCGAGATGGAACTATGACATTGAACAATTATGGTTTTTAACTTAATTATGCTGTGATGTACATTAATACCATTGTTTATTAATTTTGTATTCTTTTCAGAAACTTGTATTAAATGGGAACTGGAGGAGCACCAGCAGCTTTGGGTCCGAGTAGAAGCAAACCCAGGTCAGTGGGATTACGGAGAAGGGGGACAGTTTTTGTGGAAGGAGAAGAAGGGAGGGAGGGAATAAGGGTGTAAAAAAACAAAATATCTGCATCAAAGAAAAAAAAAAATCATATTTCTTTTGTAAAACTATTTGTTTTTTCGATAATTTTTTTATTTTTAGCCTATATTTCTACATATGATTTATTCATTATTTCAAATGTAATTTTGTAAATTGTTTTCTCTTTTTAATTGAAAGGTTTCTTATTTTCAGTCATTTAACCTGGAAGTGGCTCCATCTGACCTGGGAGCTTCATTGCTACCTAATCCATCTGTCCAGTCCTACTTTTACAATTCAAGCTATCTAGGTAAAATTACAACCCTGTTTTTATTCCTGAGCTTTCCCTTCAAATTGTTATTATTTAGGTTGCTGTAGTCCAGGAATTAAGTCTAGTGTGATCTGTGAGCAGTGATAAAACATTTAAATTTCAAAACTTTAATCTCTAGTTTTCATTTTTGTATCCTGGATAGTATCCAGAGAAAACCAGTGTTAAGCTATTGATAAATATCCACGTTATCCAGTGCCTTATATCAATTAATCAATATCCAGTGAAGAAACCCCTTATCGATCATCCAGCGGGCAAATTCTGTGTCAATCACCAAGTTGTTTACTTTGCAAATAACAGGTATGTAAATTGTATTTGAAATTAATTTTTTATGCTCTTTAATTTAATCTGAATTTTACGAGAAATTAAAGTTTAAAAAGCAATTGGAAAATGGAATATATTAAATAATTCGTAAAACAATAAATGATTATATTTTGTTAGTATGCTTGCGACCGGAATGACCGGCTTGCTTGCCCGGCGCGCTACAATCATCAGCAAAAGACGTTATTCAGTTGAGGTGAGTTAATCAAAGGTTTTTACCTCCAGTTAATGTAAGTTCTAAAAGGGATTGTGTTTGGAATTTTAAGAAGGGAATATCCATTCACAACAGTACCCTTCAAACCTTTATCTGATCAAAAATGGGAGGAAATAATCGTTTTTCACGGTTTATTGATTTAATATTTTAGTATACTGCTGTTTATCGTTGATGGCATTTAGTTAATATGATTCGATTAAGGTTATGGTGTCACAGAGTTCCAACCTGTTATCCAACACAGCTCTGGAGGAGTGGATTAGGTAACATATAAATCAAATATAAATCAAATATAAATCAAATATTGATCAAATAGTAATCAAATATTGATCAAATATAGATTGAATAAGATTAAATATAGATTAAATATAGATTAAATGTATATCAAATATTGATCAAATATTGATCAAATATCGATCAAATTTAGATATAAATCAACAAATTTTTTTTAAGTTTTCTTTATTATGATTATGAGAAAAAAAATAACTTTAAACTAAAATTCTAATTTAACTTGGATTAGGCGAAACATGAACTTCAAGCAGAAGAACCTTCTCCTTCTCTCCAGCAGTCTTAGCAACAAGGGGAGGAATATCAAGGTTAGACCAGCATTCAAGCAATCAATTAATCGATCGACCGATCGATTATTCAATCAATCCAGTGATCTATAAATAAATAAATCCAGTAATATTTTCTTTTAGTTAATTTTGTAATCTATTTTTCTAACTTAAAATGTCTAATCAAGCTGGTCACTGATCAAGCGACACTTTGCCGATTTATCAGTCTAAAAAAACTTTTAATAACACCATTAGTTTTCTCACTTAATCAATTATCAACTAATCAGTCCACATTAGTTTACACATCTAATAATCAATCAAACCATACTTTCCATTTCTGAATAATAAGTTTATTGCTGTATAGTCCGGAGATCATGGGGACAGCTCTTTGTTATACATTTTCTAGCACTTCTTAATCCTGTTGAAGCCATGGGTTTCATGCTGGTGTTGAAAATTCGATATGGGGTCTAACCTAAGTTGTGTACAGGTTTATGAAGGTTTTTCTGTCTCTGTATTGAAAGGAGCGTCCAATTTACGTTGAAACGCCATTTGCTTCTCATGCTGCTTCCTTACACTGGAGGGATGACTACAAGGATTTATGGATTATAACTCCAAATATCTCTTTCTTTTTCTGGTTTAAATAGGACCTGGTTGTTCATGAAGTAGTTGGTTTCAAAATTTCCTCTTTCCACGTGCATCACCTTGCATTTATCTGTGTTAAATCTCATCCCCCATAGATCTGCACAGCTGGACATATTATTGAGAGCTGTTTCAAGGGTTTTTGAGTCCGGTGGATTCATAACTATGTGTCCTACTTTTGTATTTTCAGCGAACTTCTTAATGATTGTGACACACTCTACAGTCTACAGCTTTATCAATATCATTGATAAATATCACAAATAGAAGAGGACCCAACACTTACTTACTTGTTTACTTGAAGAGGAACTTCTAAGGGACCATTTTGATCCAAGGAAGAAGTGTCAGCTTTACTGGTGACCCATACCATTTCCGAGAGCAGAGGTTTGACAGATTACTTCATCTGGGTAGGGGCACTTGGCTCAAATACATGTTTTTAAACTGTTGGACATTTCTTGCATTTTTGATGCTATCAGGTAGTGCATTCCACTGCTGAACTATTCTATTAGAGTAGAAGTGTTTTCTTATATCCAAATTGGGTCTGGAAGCTACTATACAAAGGGACTGTTCACTTGTTCTGGTTACTCTCCTTTCAGTGTCACCATACAGCTCAAACCAAATCTTTCTGTCCACATCATCTATTCCATGTATGATTTTGTATGTTTGTACAAGATCGGTGTATGTTCTTCTCTCCTCCAGTGAAGTCAGACCAAGTTCTTTTACCCTTGTTAGATAATCGGTTTCTTGTAATCCATAAACCTGTTTTAGAGCTTTTTTCTGGACATTTTCTAACCTTTCAACATCTGAAGTTAACCACGCTACTCTGAGGTTCCTCTGATAGCACCTCCTTCTATGTTGATGAAGATCCATTGAGTACTACTCTTTGTGTTCTGTGCTGTAACCAGCTTTCAATCCATTTCATTTAATCAACCTATTAGTTAACCTTAGTTCACACAATCAAACATTCAAACCATTTGTTCCATTTCTTAATAGTAAGTTTATTCAATGACTCGATCATTCAATTCAATCAACCCCAATCAGTAAACATTAGTTCACTAATCTATCAATTAAAGTTTATCTCGTCGCCCTATCAGTTTACAAATCTTGGAACTTGATCAAATCATTGCTCACAATCAATTCATATTAATTATCACTTTGGCATCAAATAAATCTAGTCAATCAATAAATCAATAAATTATTTGTAAAGGCATGTTTCCTCGGTGAAGCTGGTCTGAGGAAGGATACGCAAGCTAACCTAGTGTTCCAATCTATACCTAGAGATGCTGTTCTTACCCAGCTACCAGAGGTAGGAGGAGAAGGAAGGGTTGGTGTTGAAGGATATTTTAACTGGATGGGGAAGGGATCCGGTTGATGGTAGAGATTGAGGAAGGGGGTGAAAGGGGGAAAGGAAATGTAAGGTGGAAGGGTTTATAAGTGGAAAGGGATTAAGTAGACGGGGATGCATAGCTGCAGGGTATGTTTTGATGGTAGATACTGGATACTGGATCCTCCTACTCCACTCTTTTTAGTTTACTTCAAGTTTGGAAAGCAAAAGAAGGACGTACATAAGAATTTGATATGATTTGATTTGATTTGATTTGATTTGATTTGATTTGATTTGATTTGATTAGATTCTTTTTTTTTCTAGGATTTGGAATTGGAATCACGGGGCTAATTGCTGAAAATCTTATTTGTCATCCGTTCATCATACTTAGACGTCAATGCCAGGTGAGAAAAACAAGGTTCCCGCGGATTTTTTGGGTTAGACACCAGATCTTCCGATAACAGTTCGATTACAATAGAACGAGCAGTACCAGTAAATTCTTTTGACTGGTTCAAATCATGCAACAACTAGACGGGTGTGAAATATACAGTTTGATTTTATTTGATTTGATTTGATTTGATTTGATTTGATTTGATTTGATTTTTGATTTTTGATTTTTGATTTTATCATTTGAGTTGCTTTGATTTTTATTTGACCCCTGAGTCTGTTTTATCTAGATCTGCCTGGAGGATGGAGAAGGATCTATCCGAGTATCTGTTCCCCTGGAGAACAATGGGGAAACCTCTGCACTCAATACTATTCAGAATATTGCGGAGATGTTCATTAGGAACGAAAGAGGAGAAGATGAAAAGTGAGAATTTTCAGAATGAGAAAAAAAAATTTGCGAAAAATATATTGTTTTGGAAAATATTTTTTTAAACCATACCGTTCCCCTTCCGAGATTAAGTTGAAAAATTAAGTCAAAAAATCTTGTTTTTAGGGGCTCTGGTTGTAGATTGAGCCTGGTGAGACCCGACCATGGTTGGTTTCCTGGGATCGAGGATATTGAGAAGGAACTGGAGATGAACTTGGCTGAGATTCAATCCATTCAAAGGGAGAAAAAGGCCAACCGGTCCGCAGTCGTCTAGTTGATTTATAAGGCTAACGCTAGGTGTCTCTGCTTTATAAACTTAAAACTTCTGATTTACAACTAGATATCATTGTTTTTGGTAGTTAAACAAAATCTTAAAAACTGCTATGAATATCTGCACTATCCTTGTTTCTGTAGTCTTAGTTAGTCTAGCTTTAATACGATATTCAATTAAATTTAACGCTGTGTTTGCATCACATTTTCTTAGCAAAACTGCTGCAGTGAAAACCGTAAAAGATTCAAAATGATTGTTTTTTCATTAATAAATATGACAGTTCAGTCGATTATTATTTTCGAAGAAAAATCTATTTATTTTGAAACATTAAGGTCTTCACTGTACTGTAAACGTACTTTTTGCTTGTTTAATGCAGTTCAATTAGTTACTGTGATAAATTAAAGTGCCTTTAACAAAACAAATTTACACCAAACCTCTGGACGAAAGAAGCTTTAGAAAAATATAAGAATGAGCTGAATCTTTTTCAGTCCCAACCTTGCATTTTTCGAGCTTTTGTATATCCTTGCCGCGATTTACACGCGTTTATTTAAAGCATTTTTCACGTTTTTTACACCACTTTTTATCGTGTTTTCACACTATTTTATGTTTCCTTTACATGCACAATATTTACAAAATATATCAATGCAATTTTTCATATTTATACTCTTCGTATTTATCAGAGAAATGAACAATGTGTACACTAGTGACGAAGAGGAGGAGGAGGAGGAGCGAGAGAACCTAATCCAGGCCAAGGAGACCAGGGAACAGACGGAGAAGGTTGAGGAGGAGGAGAGGAATATCTCCAGGTTCCCCAAATATGGATGGAAGGTTAAGCTTGATCATGAGTTTCCAGAGGAGAGAGATCAAAATCTTAGGCCTTCCTTCGGTAAGAAATTAAACCATGGATTTTTAATTTTCTTTTATCCTTATTGTTGTCGATGTTGTCTTGTTTATGTATTGACTGAGTCCCCTTCTCGGAGTCGGTCTGGGGATCCCACGTTGGGGGTCTTCCACGATCTATCTTTCATTTCATTTCATATGTGGAGTATAATGTCGTTGTCTTTGTCGTTGTCAATGGTGTTTGCGTTGTCACTATCGCGGTCATCGTAGTTGTCATCGCTTTTATAGCTATCCTGTTCATTGACATTTTTTTCTGTTGTATTGTTAACTAATAAATCTCACCCTAAGTTACTAATTAAAGTGAACTTGTAAATGTGCAATTTCAGCTAAATTTTTGGTTCTTTTTCGATTGAGCTGAATACAATTTTTAAAAAAAATGGAAGTCATAATTAGTGTGAATTACAAAATTAGTTTTACCTTATCCTTTCATTGAAAAAAAATGGCACAAATATTTTGAATTTTTTCAGGACAAATATTCCCGGAACTAGCTCCTCTTGGGCTCAGATATCTCTTCTGGTGGCTTGGAAAGGTATGGTTGATTGATTGATTGATTAATGGATGTTTGGATTAATGGATTTATTGATAGATTGATTTGAGATAGGTTTGCACTGTATAAATGCAAATACAGGTTTACCCACAAAGGATGAGACCTAAATGACGACAAAAAAACTCCTCAGATATGAATTACATTTATTGAATTTAAATATTCAAAACTTCACATGGTTCACTGACCCTTGAGTTGATGCTAAATAACATATTATAGTTGAAGGCTGGCCGATTACCTGTGATTGATCAGTTCCGACCCCGTCATAGTAAACGCATGTACGGTGTACCTTGTGGGGGTTTGGGATCAGGAACAGTAGGCAGGCAGGTACATAAACTTATAGCTGGCAGACTGTACTTAAACTCTTTTAAGGAAATTCACATTTTGGCTGTGTACGGTACACAAATTTATATTATCAGTATGTGCAGTAAAACGCATATTAACTTGTTTCTCCTGTATGCGAATAAAATTATAACTTTCGAATATAGAATATAGATGTACTAATTTTCAGCAGTGCATAAAGTAGTTAAACAGATTTTCATTTTCCTTAAGATTACAATTCATCACTCTGTACAACAAATAATTTTCCGTAATTTACACCAGAAGAAATGCGGAAATGTCTTCATTTTAAATATTCCATCATTTTCAATTGTTATTTTGGCACGCCACGCTTGAAAAGCTCATAAAAGAATTGAGCATTTGCAGAAAGCTAAAGTTTAACTTATATTTTAGCCATTCAATTTCGTAGACCTTGGATATTTCAAACTATGACTTCTGTTAGATAAAACCATCTTAATTTGAAATATCAAATGGTTAAATCATCAGGTTGAAAAGATGTAGGGATTACAAAACTTAAGTTTTTTTGCAAAGACTCAATTCCTTTCCAATCTTTGTCTAATTTTGGCAATTTTTGTAAATATGAACATTCAAATCAGTTAGATGTTGAATTGGATACCGATGTTTTTGAGGGTTTCTTAGTTATAAATAATGTCGATATTCTCTGATTTCAGGGGATTCCGTGGAGAGTTCTGTAGGTTTAACATGATTCCTGGAATGTACGAATACAATACAGTTCCTTCGGATCAGTTTATACTTAGCATACACTCAGATACTGGGGGCTGTATCTACCAGTCAGGTAAACCAGTATACAATCAGATACTGGGGGCTGTATCTACCAGTCAGGTAAACCAGTATACACTCAGATACTGGGGGCTGTATCTACCAGTCAGGTAAACCAGTATACACTCAGA